CGCGCGAGCCAATTGCCAGCGCAAGGGGTTAAAAGTTTTGACTGTACACAACACGACAAAGATTTCGAAATATTTTTACACTTTTCGGAAGCTTGCGAGAGTAAAGAAATTAGTTCCTTCCCATTTCCGTGCCTTTCCAGTATTTATCGCAGACGATAAAGTCTTTCAATCGCGCGTGTATTCGTAGGAATAAAGGAAACTTGTACTCCAAACTAACAACGTTTAAAAACAACGTCGGTAAGAAATTAAGCGTACACTTCTCGCTCAGAGATTTTGGAACACTTTCTATAATTCATATAATAAAATTATATGGATAATATAATTGAACTATAATATATGAGCTGTAATAAAATTGTCTATGCACGAAATACAATTGTCAATGTAGCTAACACTCGACAAATTCTTTCTCGCATAAAGCGTATTATCTAGCTCTATTATTGTATACGGTCACTCGTTATGGTCCGCAAACCAATTTGCCAGCGCAAGGGAGTTAACTGTCCTGTCCGGGGAAAACAAAGACAGACAAAATGAGCGGAAAATGTAATTTTATCTTGAAACAATACTTTAATTTCCCTTCAATTTTGCGATCGTTCAAAGATACCTGACCCCTTAATGATGTTTCAATTACACTCCCAAGTTAGTACGATATTAATATCGGAATATTCGCTCGTGTTAAAACACGCGTGAATAACATATCACGTGCAGTGACTAGCGGCCATTTTGTTTCAGTTTCACCGCGTTTCGAAACGTTTTGCACTCTCATCGTGTCGGAAACCGTGTGAATATCCAGGCTGCGATTCGTTTTGCCATCCGGCGTGCCGCGATTTGAGGATGACGCCTCGAGTCATCTTCTTCGGAGGAGTCATTAACTGAGATGAGAACTTTCGCCTGACGTGACATTCGCGGGAAAAGTGGCGAAACTCTCTCTCGGATCTGTTTGGCGTGCGTCATAGAGAGATGAAGCAACGCAGTAACGTCACGAGCAGTTGTTGCTAACTTAACTATGACAGCAACCTCACGTTGTTCTGTTTTCCCGATACGTTTGCCTGCCAATTCGACGTAAAGAAATTTCATTGATTTCATCGCATCGCATCGATTAAAATCTTTGATCAACGAAAACCCACTCAACTGACGAAAAAATTTGCGATTCTCGCGTGTATTATGTATATTAATTTGACGAACTAACCAGTTCCTGTTCTCGTTTAAAGAAAACGCGCGACTCGTGTTCGATGGCGGCGGATTAAACGGAGAGATACGGAAAGTTCGAAAACCCGGCGCTTTTCCACAGTAATCACGGCACTTACACTTAAAGCTGAAAGTAGACGTCCGACTTGGCTAAGTAGAGTGTCTTAAACTTTTTGCGCTTTTACGAAAACCGTAAGCGCAGCACGCTGGAATCCAATCAGCGTATTTCCGCCTTCTAATGCTTTTCCATTTATGAGCCATTAAGGCGCTCGTCAGAGCCGATATCCTGGCGTGTAATTTTTTAAAATCTCGCCTCGTCCTCCCTCCTCGAGGACAGATTTACAATGATTAATCGTAAGTTAGAATTACACTAGAGACCGAGATCGAAGAATTTCGCCGGTTGAAACGGAAAAATAATGTATCTCTCCAATGTTTGAAATTTGATTTTAATTTTTTAAATCTCTTCTTGAAATTTTAATTTTAATTTTTTAAAATTTCGCCTCGTTTTAATTTCCAATTTTTTTAAAATCTCGTCTCGTTTTAATTTCCAATTTTTTAAAATTTCGTCTCGCTTTAATTTCTAGTTTTTTAAAATATCGTCTCGTTTTAATTTCCAATTTTTTAAAATTTCGTCTCGCTTTAATTTCTAGTTTTTTAAAATCTCGTCTTATTTTAATTTTAATTTTTCAAAATTTCGCCCTTTGCGTTCTTAATCTTGAAAATAGGTTTCCAATGATTAATTAAATAATGTAAATTAGAATAATGTTAGAAACTGAAGATCTACGAGATAAAAGAATTTCATCGAGTTAAAACACTGACTTTATATAGAAACGAATATAAAATAATCAATTTTGATTATGTTAAAATGTTTAAAATTTCACATGTTAAAAACAGATTTATAACGATCAAAGAATTTCGCCAAGCTGAAACACCATCGTAGAAACGGAACAATAATCTGTCTTGATAATATTTAATTAAACTGTTCAGACAATTTCACCCCAATCGGAATTGAGAAACATGTTATTCCGGGGTGAGAGTTCGAGTAATTGTCGGGGTTATAACGAGGTCATTGTGGACAAGTTTCTCGGTCTAAGACAGCCTGTCAAACTTGAAACGCGTTTCCCAAACGAGTTCCTCGAACGTCACTTTATAAAGTCCAAAGTGTAATTCGAATCCGCAAGACTCGCGGTCCCGGCTTTGATCAAACGTAATTAATCTTGGTATCGCGTCGAATGCTTTCAAATAAATTTCGGTTCATGCATATTTATCAGTTATAATGGAAGGAAGGAAGTTACTTCGAAAAAAAGAAGAAAAAAAAATGGAAGGAAAAGAAAAAATACATGCCCGAGTATATACACACATAGAAACCGCCGGGTGAATCAATAACTTTCGAAACTTCCAGCAGCTTTTTACACTAACACGCTTACGAAGTCTGTTGCGTGACTTTAATCAGAAAATCTGCATAAATATGCATGGCATCTCATATGCATTCAGGTTGCATTAAGAAAATCGGATATGAATATGCGTCACTCTCTCGACGAGAACATTAAGCTTCTTCAACACCTCTGCTTAACTCGCAACACCCCTTCATAATCTAACAATAACGACTGCGTTAACACGCGCGCAAAGAGAGAATAATTAATAAACTATTTACGATAGAAGCCGCGCGATTGTGAAATTTGCCATCGAAACAATCGTCGCGGATTATTTTCAACGTCCTTTCACCGCCTTGCCGATTTCCACGTAGACGCGTGTTAGTGTAAGAAAAGATCGCGAGTCGTTTCCACTGCGAAAGAGACTTCGAAACAGAAAAGAATCGACTCACAGCCCAATATAAATGTGGACATTTCAGTTTCTCTAATTCGCCTTTCGATCGCCCTTGAAAATCATTCAAAGATTTCTGTCTCGTGCATCTTGGCGCAACTATACCGATGACGATGAAATAACTCGCCGATGTAACTTGGTAAGAAAAGGTTATGCATAACGATTCACTTGGTGCCATTTTAACCTCTTGCGCTGGAATGACGTGATTTCTTTTTTGTGTCCCAAATTGCAACATTTTTTTCTCAGTTTTAAGTAAAACAAAATGGGCAAAACAAATAAATTTATTACTTCTCGATCATTTCTATCCAGTGGTGTCATACCGACGAGTTCAAAGGAAAGAGAAAGCGATGAATTATTGTATACAGTTTGGTCGCTCGTTATGGTCCGCAATCGGTTGCCAGCTAGTTTCCACTTTCGCAGTTGCGCAGTTCGTCCTTTCCGATGATGATTTTACATCGTGCAGCGAGTGGGAAAAGCGAGGAAAAATCCCGAAAATTATGCAAATTCAAACGCGCGCGCGGAAACGTGAAAAAAAAAATTTCTTTCACGGCTGTAAATCCACCGTGATCTCGAGGATTGAAATTTCCTCTATTCAACTCGCCGTACGACTTCCCTCTCTGCCATTTTATTGGACTTGGAAGATTAAAGTTAAATGTTAAAATTTCTTGAACTTTTTTCTCGCTTTTCTCGATTTTCAACTCCAATATTCAATGTTCGACAAAACGATGGGGGGAAAAAAGCAAGAGTGAGACTTCGAATGTTGAAAATGATGGTGGATCTGGTTACGAAACAAATGTTACGTAATGATGTGAAATTATATTTTCAAAAAAGAACGATGCAAATCGATCTTTTACGTAATCTTCTTTCTAAACTCTCTCTCTCTCGTTTAAATCATCGACAATTTTCCATCGTCATTGGTACAGTTACGCCCCTCGCCGCACAATGGCCATAAATTGCAAGGTCCAGTGGACGTCTTGAGGACGTCCAAGAAAGATGCCCGACACGAACGATCGATCGATTCGTTACGGTGACCAAACGCCTCGGTCACTCCGCGCCATTGCGGCCTCGACCAATAAAACCCGGGGCTGACAATCTGCCCGTGGCCTCCCCCTTCCTAACAAATGGTAACAGATAACGGATGCGAAAAGGGTCGCACCGTCGTGAATGATAAGGCAAAATGACAGTGACGTATAGGCTTTCCTCGTAGTTTCGCGAGTCTCCCGCGCGTGCTACAATTCCATCGGCAATGCACTCGAAGCCGCTATCATACACGGTCCAGAGCAATTCCAATAGGCGATCCATTATCTTAAACGGCGAGCGACGCGGCCCGATCGATTCGCACCTCCGCTTTTCCCAACTTCGTTCCTCGCCTATCAGGAAACGTCTAGTTCACCCCTCCTATTTCTCTCTCTCTCTCTCTCTCTCTCTCTCTCTCTCCTGGCTCTTCATTCTCCACGAACCTCATTTTTCTCAAATCCGGCTTACCAGATATATATATATATGTATATATAACCGAAGTTTATTTCGACGTGTACATTTCAACACCCCTGACTGACCTCTAAATCTGTTCCCATTGCGATTAATCGACCCCGAAATTATGAATGGTCACGAATTTCGCGAAAATTATGCGACAAGGATAGTGTTTTTGTCGTTTTTTTTTAAATGTAAATGGATCAAAGAACTTGCAAGGAACATGGAATGTAGAATTACAGAAAAGTGCAGAATTGACAGACGCTTTCGAGTGCCATTTATAGTCTTTTAACACCCTGATCCCTTCTGGGGATCACGCAATTCCCAGAGGATTCTTTCCATTTGTTTCATTCATGTCTTTCCTTCAGCGTGAATTTTGTATTGCACCATCTCGACTTTCTTTGCAAGGAAAGAACTCGTCCGTATGTGTGTAAAATAAAAATTTTTCAACAGATAGCCAGAACAGATTATACAGTTTTGGCTATTGACCAAGAAATGAACGAGCTGATCTGTGTTTGCAGGTTGCGGCAGCATAGCCCCGAGATCCACGTGGGGCAAGATCGCAACCACCGGTTATGCCAGTCTGGGCATTCCCTTGACCTTGGTTTACTTATCAAGCACCGGAGGGCTTTTATCCAGATGCGCCAGGGGTGTTTTCACCCGCGCTCTTTGCTGCTGCCTTTGTTCCAACTGCGGCTACTGTTGCTACGACGAACGACGAATGGAGGTGAGTGGGTGACGGGAAGGGAAAATCTCTGCTTTATGTCACGTTTCGCTTGACTCTGTCTGCCGAAAAAAAAAAAAAAAAGAACTATAGAGTTACTCCAAGAGTAACTCTAACTCTGACTCGGCGGGAATCACGCTCCGATTTGAAACGTTTGACGTGTACGCAGGAGAAAGAGAGACGGATGAGAAAGAAGCGGCAGCAGGAGGAGCTGGCGCAGCAGCAGCAGCAGCAACTGCAGCTGCAGGAGCCGTTTTACGTTCGCGCGAACGCCTCGACGTTCACGAGCACCGTGGAAATTAAGACCAGCCCGAAGGACGAGGTGTCGAGCCTCGGCTCCGGCGACAGGCCCAACGTCACTATACTCGCGCCAATCAGCATTTGCCTGGGCGCGATGCTCTGCTACATCGTGGCGGGTGCTTTCACTCTGCACAAGCTGGACGGCTGGTCCTTTGTGGGTACGTGGAAAAACTTTCGTTTTCTTAACTCTCTCTCGGGCCGCGATCTTAACCGCTTGCGCCTGGCAACCCGGATTGCGGACCATAACGAGTGACCAGAGAAACCGTTGTACAACAATTTCGCCGCTTTCCTTTTGAAACTCGTCGGTGTGATATCACTCGGCGAAGTAATTTTATCGTTTGTTTCACCTCTGGGTTGTACTCAAATGTACTTAAAACTGAGGAAACATTGCAATTCCGGCGCAAGAGGTTAAACGCCGTGTCGTTTACGCAGGGTGATTCACGTAACCTGGACGTCTAATGAAAAATTGTTTAACCCTTTGCCTTCTAAACTATTTTTCAATTATTTTCTCTGTCTTTCTGGCAATTTAAAAATATCGTGTGTGACTCGTGAGAGTTTCTGCGATGGAAAACTGATGTCGAGTGTGACTCGACAAAGAAGTGTAAAGGATTAAATAGTACATAACAAGTTGTATGGTTTTAAAGGAGGAAAAATATGTCGTGTCGATTTTGTATAAAATTTTCTCCTTATTATATAACTTTTGTTATGAATAATTTTTCATTTAGACGCATAATTGAGAAATTACTTCAGGTGCACAAGTTACGTGAATCACCCTGTATGTGGCAACAATTTTCTTTTCGGTCCTCGGTAAACGGTAAATTATTATAATACGTTACGTTGAATCATTGACTTATTAATCTTGAAGGTTTAAGAATTTAAATAGTTCGTACGTTCCATAATTTCTGCTATCGAGCGTAACTCGATATTATAATTCAGACGGTTAAGATTCGCTTCGGTTAAAAAGATTTATATATATATCTAAATCACACGATTGTTTTTTATTCGATCCGAGAGAACTGATTGTCATGTCAGAAAGTTGCACGTTTAATTAAAAATTTCGGTTGAAAAGACGTCCGTTCGACATCACGCACGATTCGTTTGTAATTCGACGGAAAAAAAAGTTACAATCGAGTTACAATCGAATCGACTTGGGCGCGATCGTTCGTTCAATTGTTAAAAATCGACGCCGTAGAAGCTCGGATTCTGACCGATCGGTTATCCAAAACTGTGGATTTCAATTTGCGACGCGATTCTCGTATCTGAATATCAATAGTAACGTACAGCTAAAGTTGTGGTGTTTCGTGTGTTCAACTGTATAGATGCGAGTTACTTCTGCTTCATGAGCCTGAGCACAATCGGGTTCGGCGATATGGTACCCGGTTCCTATCCCCGCCAGAGTCTGTACGAGTCGAGGAACGTAACCATTTGGTTCTGCTCGTTCTACATAATGTCTGGCATGGCGTTGACGGCGATGTGCTTCAACATCCTGCACGACGAGATCGTCCACAGGCTTAGCCATCAGTCGGAGAAACAGGAGCCGGTGAAGGCCAGCCCGAGCGTGGACGAACTGTCGACCGATCCTCTTACGCTAACCTCGTGACAATTTCCGTCTGGCAACCTGTGCCACAGGAACGGCACCGACGATAACGACATTTGCGGGACAGAGCCGCCGGCCAGCTTGTTCGCCCACGAGAACGAGATCAATATACTGAAGGACTCTTTCAATCAGGTGGACGTCACCAGAGACTGCAAGCCGATTTTGAAACTCGAGGATCACGTCCCGCCGATTCCTGGTGTCTACATGTTGCCGAAGGTCGACGAAGAGGTCGAGGAAAACACCGAGATGTGAGACTTTCTCTTCGAGTAATAGAATCGCATGGTCGTCGCTCGTGCTTCGAGTGACCGAAGACAAGAATACGGGGAGAATTTCGAACCGACGTCTCACGATGTCAACGCTGGTCCTCCAGGTTGATAGATGCCTCCCCCCCTCCCGACACATACGTCGTATATATTATAAATAGAGAAGTAATCGTTCAATCATCACAGTGACATAGTGTGCGCTTCGACGAATGGCGGGAAAATTGGATGGAACAGTTTTTATCGAGTAACCGCGCGCGGTCGATTGTACCCGATTTCGAAACTCGACAGCTTTTCTACACGCGTGATATTTTCCTCTTTCACTTTCCTTTTTTTTTTTTCTCTCTCTCTCTTTTTTCTTTCTCTCGCTGAACTGTCGTTTTTGTACCGGGAACCGATGCTTCGCAGCACCGCGGGAAGAATGATTCCTCGAACGTTGAGAAATGTTTTCAAGTGCAACAGTTGTGTACGTCGTTGGCGATCGATGCGACTGTCCTCGTAGATCGAACATTGCACTCGAGTGCAAACGAGTATTCACGCGTACGATGTGCGACAGAAACGCATGTGGCGTGTTCGTCGTGTGGACGAGGGCTGCTTCGAAGAAAGTACGTCAGCGACGTTCGAGAACCAGGGGTTGGAATGTCGTTTCCAGATACGAACAAATCGAATTGAAATTATTTTCTTCTTTTTTCCCCCCCGAAATTTTCGTTCGAACTTCTTTCTTTCTTTTTTTTCTTCTTTGAGATAAACAGTGTTTGTTGTCGTCAATTAATATCGAGAATTAACCAGAGTCGCTTGGACAAATATTTGCGTGAGAAGTTTAACGCGGGATTCGGCAAACTTTTCGTGCAAATATTAACAGCGAAATGCCTATATTATACGAATTACCATAATTATCGACGTTCACTCGATTCGGCAAACAGATCGAGCGAAATAATGGCAGTGTAAATAAACTTGGTCCAGTTCGAGAGTATATATATATGTGTGTGTGTGTGTGTGTGTGTGAGACATTCGGTTTAATAAGACCAGCAATTGCATTACGCAAGTTCCAAGTAAGATATCCTCGGGATATACGAAGTGTCTCCTAAATGTTCTAGGAAATTCCTAAACTTCCTGCAGACGTTCCTACGTTAATCCTGGTTTACTCTTAATGAACATTCGTTCCATATTAGTAGAATGTGAAAACCGTGTTTTCGTCTAAACAATTATCGAACTTGAGAGCAAACGGTGAGAGAAAGTTATTTTACAGATACGTATCGAGTAATATATATATATATATATATATATAAAAGATTGTACATATACACACACGCAACACCAAGAAAGGCATACTTGTTTGTTTAAATATATTTTTACGTTCAATGAGAAAAGCAAAGCATGGGATCAGAACCGTCTTCGCGTTTAATTCAAATTTTTTAATTTTAATTTCTTTTAAAATCCGCTCACCCGCTTGGAAATGACATTCTAACTAGCTCGATATTTCTACACACACCCACACACTTAGATAGAAATTCGTAACAGTTTTTATATATTTCTGCGTTTAAAACAAAAGCTCATAAACACATTCTTGTCCATAACGAGTTGAGTGAACGGATTGATGCGTCTAGTCGTGTCGTACATGCGTAACAAACGAACAATTATATACACGTCGTTCTTTTATACATACATACATACATACATACATACATACGCACCCGTTTATAAATTATTCACACGCTGACAAATTCTTTCGCAACAGCACTGCCAGAATGTAAAAGCGTCGCCCATGGAGATTGAATGCGAAGATAAATCAATTTTAATATATACAAATATTTACGAGTATATTTTATAAAAAAAAAAAAACGTAAGCGAATTTTTCTAACGCGAGGAATCGTACAGTAATCACTTTTAACGTAACTTTAGACATTTTATATCGTATGATGACTTGCAGCAATTACTCGTACCCTACTACACGATAATTTTACAAATCAGGTGTGACGTTTTAAAGATAATTGCCGATTATTCTGACCCTTATTCGTGCGGTGATCGACTAGACGCAGGAATCAGCGAAACGAAAATTACATTTGAATTCTGTGCTCAAGAACAATAACTAAAATACTGTTACGGTTAGGCACTAATGTTTAAGAGTGTTGCATAATAAAACTATCCACATTGTTTATAATATCGGTATTCGTGATAGACTACGTGATTACGGAGTGCGTAATGTATAGCTGTAAATTAGCTGTGAACAAGAAAAAAAAAAAGAAAAAAAAGAAAAATATTACTCCCGTCGGGTATAGAGCAGAGTTTTGAAGAACAGGTTGCTCTCCTCTGCAACAACTCTGTGACAAAAAGGAATTAATTTTCCCACTGCCGATAAACGCGGTTCGCTTTCTGGCTTCACGCCACAGTAATTTTCGTTTATCGATTCAAACTCGTTGCGTCGATGCAAAATTATAAAGGGGTAAAAGGCATAGAGAATTCCTCCGATATATCGTTGCACTCGGGAAATTATGAATTATTCACACTGGCAAATGACTATTCATACGCGCGCTCGATCTTCTGAATTTTATATATTTTATTCAAACATTAACGCTGATACGAACTGTGTTGTTGCAGAGCGCCTGTATGTGGCACGCGTGATACACACATTTCGCGGTAAACAAATTAAATAGTCTCGCCGTGGGAAAGAGCCGAGCCGCGAACGAAAAACCAGCGGATCAAACGATCTGCTCTGTACCAGCGACGGGATGTGCCGCGTGCAGTAGCGACCTAAAACGAAGGTGTTTTTTCTGTTTTCTTGTAACATATCATAAGATGTAAGAACGAAGTTAAAAGGTAAAACGGTCCTTTTGATGCTGAATTACAAACAATCGACGAACCGAACCGAGCACGAACCGGAAACTGCATTGTATTGTAGGATAGGCCGAAACAAAATACATGTAACGCAAGCGAGTCTCGCAAACGGTGTCTAATGACAATCGATATTAGATTGAGCAGTTGCTGGAATTATCGTTATCACTCTGTTGGTGTGATTCGATAGAGGATCGGTGGACGGTAGCCAAGACAAAGTTTGCTTTGGTGTTTGCACCAGCTCATCCAGCTATCGATCCGAACCCTGGCTGACCGAGCAAACTTCCTCGCACTCGTTCCATTCATTTTCAAGGGGCACACGCGTCTTCTCCAAGCTCTGACGCTCGGACAATTTGTCGCCGGTGAACCACTTGTAACTTTTCTTCGGTTCGCCACGCCACTTTTCGATATATATCGTTAGATTTCATCCGAGATTAAACACATACGTATACAGGGGTGGTTTTAGAAAAATGCCAGACACAGTTTAAAAATCATCTCGAATTACTTTTCTGTTTTCTTCGTGGCATTTTTTTCTTTTCTTTTTTTCTTTTTTCGTGAAATAACGATCTCTCGATACAACATCGTCGTTGATAAAAATCGGCACAGAAAAATCGGTTTCATAGAAAAGCAATAAAACACGCGTGAAACGAGAGGCACGAGGAAGAATTTACAGACCGGTGTGCCCTGGTGTGTACACATCGTATAAAGTTCTATATTCAGGAACGTATAAAAGCACGTTCGCCCCGCGAACTTCCCACAGATCAACGATACATACGTGGGTTTTTTATGGCTCCTTGTCAAAATTATACGACTCGATCAGCGCGTCTATAAAGATTTCAATCTCGCACGAAAATTCTACCCTTCCGGTTTTATTTCTGATTATTTGTTTTCGGCGCGACGAAAAACAAGCATCGGTTTATCTGTTCGATTCGATTACGAGGTTTTTACAGAGGGGGGGGGGGGGATAATAGCTAGCAGAGAGACAGTTTGTCCCGCCGTAACGTTACCCTCAGCTTCAACTGAGCGAATTCCCATTAGAGAAATCCCCAATTCGACCTTTCTTATTTCATAAGAGGTCTCCTCTTCCCTGTGTGTCTTCTCCTGATTTCACGCCCTTGCGTTCTGATTTTCTCTCTCTCTCTCTCCCCGTTCCTCAGGGGAAATATGAGACTGAACATTCGTCGACCACCGCGAAACTTCAGCGCGACGCTTTTCCTCGAGGAGGGGAAGAAAAGAAGCGTTCTGATTAATAAACTCCAGTTTCCAAGAGTGACGAACGAAGAAGATCCGGATCAAGCATGACGCTTATTTATTTATGCGCGTTGAAAGTGAAACGATAATTGTCTCAAAAAAAAAAAAAAAATCATTCGAGACACTTGCGAGAATATTACACGTGCGTGCATTAATTCCATTGATGGTGAAATTCAACGATAATACTGTCAATGAGTGTAAAGTCAATTATACCGCAAGATACTCTCGGCTAATAACAAACCAATAGTTCGTACGAAGGAGCTCTTGAATTCCTTAAATTGAAGCCTCGCGGAGATCTTGATACCAGGACGAGAAACCACCGAAATCAAAATAAAGGACAAGTTGTTAAATTTTGTTTCTTAGATAACGACTACCCGTGCTGATTTCTCTGCAAACTCGAATTCTCGAAAGAAACATCAGAAAAAAAAAAAGGGGGAGAGAAAGTAAAAAATACCAAAGAAACACGTTCGTCGATTGCTCAAAATAACGAAGAGTTGATGAAATCATTAGCAATAGAATGAACACCGAACGATAGAAAGAAAAATGGGAGTATGTGTTTTTCTACGGTAATTCAGTGTTGCCGTTTTTTGTCGAATCGGCGGGATTTGCTTCTGCCGTCCTTCCGTACCAGCGAATCCTATGCGAAGACTGCAACATTGTTACATAACTCGACGGCAGCTCGTCGTTTTTTTTTTTTTTTTTTTTTTCTTTTGCGAAGATATCACTCTAATGTATCGACGTGTAAAAAAAATATTGGCCGAGAATGGCCATTGGGATTGACGCGGCACGCCGCTCGGACAGAGATGGCTGCACTTTTTCTATATTCTACCTTGTATATAATATTAAACGTTGTACGATATTAATACGAAGCAGTTAACGTTTAATGTTAGAAGACGTACTACCGAGACGTTAGAATTTCTATTTTCACTTTCGATCGACTTCGTCTAAGTAAAAAAACTCACACTTGCGCATTCAAGCGTGCCGGATCGCGATTCACTGTCGAAAATCGAGAGATATGCACGACAAACACGGCAGGAAGTGTCTCCGTTCGCTGAGATTGTTTCCTACACCGATAGACAGTCGTCCACTGTGAAGAGATAGTCACGTGCACATTGTAGCAG